TTTCCTCTGATTTATGATATCTCTTCAGTCATTTGGAAATGTCTGTCATGTCACTTTGTATCTTCTCGTTTCTGTATTAAATATTCCCAGTTTCTTTAATTATTCCTTATGACTCAGTTTGTAGTTACTTTAAGTACTAGATGCTCTCAGCTGAATGTGTCCCAGTCTGTGTTTTAACATATGTCCCTAACTCTGTAGCATATGATGTTCAGTAGTATTCAGCAATAAAATGAAATGAAGTATTGATACAAGCTACAACATGGATGAACCTTGAAAACATATACCAAGTGAAAGAAGCCAGTCACAAAGACCACATTTTATGTTTCCTTTTATATAAAATGTCCAGAATGGGCAAATCTAAACAGACACAAAGTAGATTAGTGGTTGCCTAGGACTTGGGGGGCGGTGGTGGTCATGGAGAGATTAGAGGATAATGGCTATGGGGTATAGGGTTTCTTTTTGGGGTGATAGAATGTTCTAGAATTGATTGTCATGATGGTTGCACAACTCTGTAAATATACTAAAGCCATTGAATTGTACACTTTAAATGAATAAATTATATGGTATATGAATTATATTTCAATGTAGTTGTTTAAAAAATATGTTGTCCAGCAGAGACTCAAACATTAATCTGAAGTATGTTGCTTTAACCTTTGTATTTCAATTTCACTCTCTGTAAAACAGATGTTAAAAATATCTGCTCTACCTCCTTGACAAGGTTGTTAAATCACATTTTGCAAACATCATAATTATGTAAATTATTAATTCAAGTGACTCTTACCACTTCATATCTGGGTTACTAACATAATCCACTTGCTGGTAACTCATTTGTTTCGTTGTGTAAGAGATTTTTTTTTAATGCCTATTACCCAACTCAGGAGAATGTAAGGAACATTTACTTCCCATTTTATAAAGTCCAACTCTCCACATTAATATTTAAAGCTATATTCCAGCTTTGTCCTATGCTTCCTATCATTCTTCACAGCTAAACTATATTTCAATTATAAAATAATTGCGTTCTCCAACATGTACTTTGCATATTAACCCTTTTAGCTGTTTTTTTCCTCTATGATGGTATTTGGAAGTAGGGACGGGACTTTGGGAGGTAATTAGGTTTGGATAAGATTATGAAAGTGAGCCCCCTCCCCCCCAAAGGGATTAGTGTCCTTATAATAAGAGAAAGACAGACTACAGCTCTTTCTCTCTATATGTAGCAAGAAGGTAGCCATCTGCAAACCAGAAGGGAAGTCCTCACTGGAAAACTGAATGGGCTAGTACTTTGATCTTGGTCTTCCAGGACTGTGAGAAATAGATTCCTGTTGTTTAAGCCACACAGTCTATGGTATGGTGTTATGGCAGTGTGAGCTGACCAATACATACCCCTTGAAACTCCCCACCAATCTCGTCATGGCTAATTTTCAGTTCTTACTCACCCACATATTATATTTTAACTCCTCACCTACTTGACAAGTTTCTCAAATGAGAAGGGTAACGTGTATAATTCTGTTACACCCTCTTTGCTCCAAAGCACAAGTTTTGTAGTCATTTACCAGTAAGTACTCAATTATGACTGCTTCCTCTTTTCCCACAATTGTTGGTCCCACACTCTATATGCCTTGAAGCTTATAGGAAAGACTCACAGTAACAGATAATCCAGTATGGATGATACACAAAGACTACGGGTATGTTATAAATTCACTCCATTAAGTTTAATTCCAGGGTTTCTGATGAACACCAACATTTTAAGTGCCAAGAAATTCAAAGAGGGTAAAGATGATTCATTACAATTTTAGGCTTGCTCCTTTTAGTTGTTATATTACAGAAGGTCATAAGAAAAGTTGAGGCAGTTCTTCCAGTTGCATCTCTAGAGCCCAACAGATTTGACTTTTGTAGAACAAGAAAGGACATGTCCAATAAGGAGGAAACTGGCAATCTCTAAGAGCCCCCAGGCCTGGCTAATGTGACTCACTCTACAGCTGTACTGCATGTAACATCAGCTTGGCCTTACCTTCGCGGAAACAGTTTTTAGAATCAGTTTTTAAGAAAATAAGACTTCCAGATGGGGACCAAAGAGCAATTTCCTCATTTTTAATACATCAAACAAAATGTTTTTATTTCCTACCAGCCGCACCTTATAATCAATCTGCATTCCCAGCTGTGACGGTAAGGGAACGGTGTAGTGCAACTGACGCGCACCAGACCTTACACCTACAGCTTACTCATTCGCTGGTGCGTGAAATGCCTCTGCAGCTCGAAAGCTTCTCCCCAAACCAGTTAGAGCTGGAAGGGCGGAGCAATAGCGTGGGTCCACTCCATCTCATTTCACGGGTGAGGAAACAAAGGCCTAAAAAAGAAACGACACGTCCAGTGGCTTATGATTTACCAGCATATTCATAACTATTGGTTCAAAACTTGGCTTGGAAATTTACATGGCGCCCTAGAGGAGGGCGGTTATGGTGTAGGGCAGATTTGTTTGTGTGGCTGTGTTTTATCCCTCTTGTCATTTTAAAATACATTCTGATGCTTTGCCTCACGTTTTCTCAGGTTATGAGGAAATCCTTCGAAATGCTCTCTACTTGTGAAATGTTGAGGACGGAAGGAGGGAATGATGGAAGGAAGGAGGGAATAACAGAAGGAAGGAAAGAAAAACTAAAGGAAGAAAGTTGACTTCCTATCCCCCTCTCGATACTTTGCTGATTCCGAATGTCACCATCTCTGCTTTCTCCGTTTCCACCACGGCTACATTCTCTTTCTAGCTCCATTTCCCCCAGTCCTGAAGGCCAGCCGGCAGAGGTTTACATTTCGCAAACCTTTGCGTGGCTGCCGGAGCTGGGCATGCTCAAACGCCCGAGACTGGCTTTTTTTTCCGGCTTCCAAACTTTGGCAGCTCTCCCACCCATCCTCCGAAGGGGCAGGCAGGCCCGCACAGATCCCTGGGTGCGAGTACACGGGAAGAAATTATCCCACTCCGCGGAGGGCGCGCGAGCGAGGGGCGCTCGCGG